TAGAGCGTGATATCCACAGCTGCTCCAAAACAAGAAAAGCTGTTGATTCAGTAAAGTGCACATTCTACAGATGGCACACAGACACTATGCTGCCACAATCAAGTGCATATGTGCTTTGTTCAGAACAGCAATCTATTGGTGTTGGAAAATAAAATTGGAGCCTGATTTCCCACAATTTGCATTTCCAAATAAAAAGAATATACAGTTGAAGTCAGAATTATTAGCTCCCCTGAATTATTAGCCTCTCTGTTATTTTCCCTTCCAATTTCTGTTTAACTGAGAGATTTGTTTAATACATTTCTACACATAATAGTTTTAATAACTCATTTCTAATAACTGATTTATTTTATCTTTAACATGATGACTGTAAATAATGTTTTACTAGGTATTTTTCAAGACACTTCTGTACAGCTTAAAGTGACATTTAAAGGCTTAACTAGGTTAATTAGTTTAACTTGGCAGGTTAGGGTAGTTAGGCAAGATATTGTATAACAATGGTTTATTCTGTAGACAATCAAAACAAAATATAGCTTAAAGAGGCTAATAATTTTGACCTTAAAATGGTTAAAAAAAACTGCTTTTATTCTAGCTGAAATAAAACAAATAAGACTTTCTCCAGAAGAAAAAATATAATCAAACATACTGTGAATTTCCTTGCTCTGTTATACATCATTTGGGAAGTATTTAAAAAATAAACGAATTTAAACGGGGGCTAATAATTCTGACTTTAACTGTATATAGTATAAAATATATTGATTAATCGTTCATTCATTCATTTATTCATTCATTCATTCATTCATTCATTCATTTTCTATTCAGCTTAGTCCAACTTATCTAGCATGTTTTACTTTACAGCCAATTTAGCTTACTCAATTTACCTATACCACATGTCTTTCGAGTGTGGGGGAAGCCGGAGCACCGAGGAAACCCACTGGGAGAACATGCAAACTCCACAGAAATGCCAACTGACCCAGTTGGGGCTCAAACCAGTGACCTTCTTGCTGTGAGGTGATTGTGCTACCCACTGTGTCATAGTGACACCTTATTGATTAATCAACAAATTAAAATAAAATAATTGAGAAAAAAAAACAGAAAAATGTAAAATAACAAAAAACTCATCGTCAGGGCCAGACCAAATCTGCAGACATTTTTTGCTATTTCTGTACAGAATTTTGTAAAAAAAAAAAAAACCTGCAAATTTATGCAGAAATATTTTGAAAGTATCGTAACTAAAATTTATATAAAATATGTATTTCATTTGTAATTTATTTTAAACAGGAAAAGATTCAAAAATAATCGGGCCGAACTCAGCATGAATGCTGTTTTTCAACAACATACAGACACACTTGCCGTCTTATCAACACATGAGAACAGCACAAACTATCACCAAACACATGTTGTAAAAAAATAAACGATGAAGAAGAGAAGAGAACCCAGGCCAGGAGACTCGAAACAAGCAGAATTCCTTTATTGAGACGTGTTGGTTGATCTGCAGTCATACATCGTCTTCAAGAAGTCTATGTGTCTGCAGGAGCCTACTGGAGGTCCGCAGTCTGCAAGTTCTGTTAAGTCTGATTTGAGACAAAGATTTCATGTCTATACTGTGTTCTTAGGAGGAGGGGAGATGGCTAAACAAAGCATGCAAATGAAGAGTTGTTGTCGGCAGGGTAAACTGCTTTTTCAGGTCTGATCTCATCATGTTCTGGAGACAGAAACCGCTTGACCAGTTGACCGAAAAGAGAAAACAAGTTACACAGCCTTGCTGTGAAACTGACACTTTGCATTAATTTGGAATATAAATTCATATTCTCACAAATACAAAGGTAGTTGACCATCAGATGACGAGCATGGGATTTTTTTTAATTTTAAGTCTCAGTGTTGGGATTGATTTTAGATGTTGTGGGATCTCCTTTCTGGCTTTTGTGAATACATAAAAGAAAGATCTCTGTCCATAACAGTTTTTAAAATCGGTTATAGCAAACATCCATGTGTTGCAGATCTGGTTGAGTGATCAGTTCTTGTGTAAAGTTTTGGCACCAAAGCACACAGGGCTGCTGAGGTAGCACTATTTAAAATGTGATAGTACAGTTTAATGCCTGTTTATAATGTAGTTTTGAAATGATAAAGCATTAGAGAGTGATAGAGCAAAACAGTGATGTGTCCATTTAGAAAGTCTATTGTGGATCTTATAGGCCCTATTGTACAGTCTAGCTGTTGGCTTCAAGATATCCTTTGTTGTGAGAGACCAAGCAGACAAACAGTAAGACAAGGTAGACAAGATTGTGGCATGAAGATAAGTTTCTGAACAGAAAAAGACAAATTTGTCCTAATTTTCCCGTAAACAAATAGTTTTTGTTTTAGCTTTCTATAAACATTTTGCACATGATCACAATAAGTGAGGTGAGAGTCCAGACTGATTCCCAATTATTGATATGTGGACACGATGGAAAGTTTTTGATTTGAGAAAGTGATGGGATAGGATATGGATAATTTTCACCTGTGTATAAAAGTACATACAGTCTGTTTTCTTAACATTAATAGTCAAATGATTTTCTTGCAGCCATTGATGTAAATGCTGAAGATCTGTTTTTAATTCATTGTTAATTGTGTCTGTACTTGATCCAGACACAAAAAAGTACAGTGTCATCAGCGTACAATAAAGAATCTGAATGTTTAATTACCTGAGGGAGGCAGGGGCTGACTGGGACTAAAAATCAGCCCTGGCACTGTAGCCACACCAGCCCACATTACCAACACAGCCCCATCCACGGACACGCACATTCACTACTTATATTGGTGTACAGATGGTGAAATAATGTAAGCAGTAACATATTTTACGCAGCGGATGTCCTCCAAGTTTTAACCCATCATTGGGAAACCCCTATACACACACATACACATACATGCACTACGGACAATTAGGCCTACCCAATTCACCTATAGCACATGTGTTTGGACTTGTGAGGGAAACCGGAAGGAAACCCATGCGAACATGCAAACTCCACACAAAAACACCAACTGACCCAGCAGAGGTTTGAACCATTGACCTTCGTGTCGTCGACAGTGTCCTTTTGAGATTATTTCAGTTAATTTTATGCATTTGGCAGCGTCTGATTTTAGAGCAATTTTTTGCTTTCTCAGGGCTTTTTGGCACCGCCTTTTCTTTTTTTAACAGTCCATCTCTGACAATTAGTTGTGTTGCACTTACTGTTTGTTTGACATTCTTGCCAGATTTTGATTACGTCCATGTAACCTCTGATTGGGTCGGCCCATCTCGAAACCAGTGGGCCTTTGCCGATTGGGCCAATGCTTAACATTTACTATTATTATTACTATCATCATCATCATCATCATAATATTCACATCTTACAAAAAATAAAAGCTGCCTGCATGTAAAAACAATACATATATGTATAAAAAAAAACCCGTTATTTAAAAAATAGCATACCGGCCCACATTTAAAAAATGGTCCGGCCCTTCTGGCATTTGCCAGAATTGCCAGGTGGCCAGTCCGCCCCTGGAGGGAGGTCATTGTTATACATGAGGAAATAAAAAATACCTTTTTTAACTTTAATGTTTAAAAGTGCAAATCTAATTAGATCCCCTTATTTGTTGAACAAAGCAAGTATTTCACATAATATATCCACTAAAAGACAGAACATATTTACAAACTGTATTGTAAATAAATCAAGTGAACATTTTCATATCAGCCAATACTATTACTAATTTAGAAACTGAATAAGTATAAATTTACACACATTTAGACAAGTAAAAAAAGAGACTCAATGGTGGGCTTAACAGCGTGTCGACCTACTCATTGTCTACTCAATGTTTATTCATTCATTCATTTTCTTGTCAGCTTAGTCCCTTTATTAATGCGGGGTTGCCACAGCGGAATGAACCACCAACCCTTCTCTGGGAGGCTGCAAACTTCACACAGAAACGCCAACTGAGCCTAGGATCGAACCAGCGATCCAGCGACCTTCTTGCTGTGAGGCGACAGCACTACCTACTGCGCCACTGCGTCGCCTACTCAATGTTTAATCACAAGTTATTTGTAAAATTAATAAAGGTGTTGATATGGGTTTTAAATATAATAATACTAATAATAAATAAATGTGTGTTCATTTATATAATGTCAACTTCCTGCACCTGTCATAGATGTCCATGTATAATGTTTAAATTTGAATGTTAGACTTCCAATATTTAGTGTTGCAGGCTAGGCATGGAACGATAACCGTTTTCAAGGTATACCGCAGTTTGGAAAAGTCAAGGATTTAAAACCGCGAAAAATTCTGCAATACCGTTCCTAAGGTATGTGTACGATTTTTTATTTACAGTTTTTTAAATTTGTTTTTTTAAGAAAACAGTATTTCCTGCAAAAAAAAAAAAAAAAATCTGAAGATGCTGTTTTAAATTGTCAAGAAATCTGTGTTTTAGAAACAAATGAAGACAGCAGAAGTCAATAGTTCATTTTTAATATTCAGCCTGACATGTTTACTGCTTCAAAATATCATAACTGTGTTTCAAAATGAAATATATTGTTTTTAAATGGGGGAAAAAGTTTTAGTTTTTTACTCAGACATTTAAACAGAATACATTTAGTCACATTTGAAACCGTGATATTTTTCCGTCAGAATCTTACTTGCCCATGCCTATTGAAGGCATCATATCATCTGCAGATCCGTCAGATGTCTAATCAATGTCTCGTTGAGTCAGTGGTGTCAAATGAGTCAAATACTCGTTACAGGGAATGTTTATCGCCACAAGGTGGTGCTGCTGGTATATCATTGTAAAACGTTGCATACATAGGCTATTTAACTGCTGTATTTTGGCCGTGTTTAGTGTTCCCGCAATTGCGTTTCCGTTTTTAGAATCCCCACACATTTCAGATTCGATTACCGTCAACACAATGCACAGGTTTGTCTGTTCAGAATACAGTACTGACAAATTGGACCAATCAGACTGAGCAGCAGATTACATCCGTGCTGTTGCGCAACAGGGTGTGGGGGCTATTTAACCTAGCTGCTCCCTCTAAGCATTGTACAGAGATTCTAAGATATATTTTGTACTACAGCTCTGAGGCAACGCCAGGTAAGTCTTTTAAATACATTAATAACTTTGTTTCCTTTAATTTCCTTTTCTTCTGTACACCATTTGTAACTTGCTGATAGTATGTGCGCATTCCAAATTAATGGGATTATGAATCAACATTTAATTATATTACTTATGTAATGCTTTTAATAGCATGCGTGTAGTAATGTGAAGGGAATGGTTTTCGTTTTAAAGCATAGCCTATGGGAGCTTATGTTTGTGCACACCTGTCAGTGAAGTGTTACAACGTTAGATAGTGTCCGCCCTTGGATTTTTCTTGTGTCGAACGGTAACGGTAGATAAGGTGTGCATTGTGAGCTGAGCAGTCCGTTAATAATTCTCGTGACGCATAAAAGCTTTTAGGAATATACAGTTGCAACAAAACACGTCATCGACTGGAAAACATAAATAAGAAATACTACAAAAGAATAGTTATAACAAAAGATTTGGCAGACTTGCAAAATCTCTGCTCTTTGGCGACGAGTCTTGGGTGTGGTGAATACTGCCTTTATCGTGATCATACCTATTAGGAAATACACCACACAGCCGCCCAAATTCAGTATTTCTTTACTGTATTTGTATGCATGTATGCTTGGTGAGAGATTGTTCTAATGTTGTTTAGAGAATGGTGTTTGTGAGGTGAACTGCTGTTAGTGTTGCTCCAAAAATACAGTAAGGCATTAAGGTATTCAATACATAAGAGGCTCAATTCAAAACAACTGTATTATCATTTACTGTATTCAATGTGTAACGGAATATTAAACATTTTTATTTTGACACATCATATTAATATACAACTCTAAGAACTTTAATATGAGAAATATTTAGCTTAACTAAACATGGCTGCACAAAATGTTTTAGTAAAATGACTTTTTGTGTATATCTATATTTATATTTAAATATACAAAAATCAAGCTCCAGCACACCTTTTTCCCTGCGCACACACACCCACACATCTGGTTTGTTGTCCTTGTGAGGACTTTCCATAAACATATAGTTGTTTGTTTTCTATTTTAAACCCAACTTCTCGCAGTAAACACTCTTTTTTTCATATTTTTATATTTTCTAAATTCTGTAGCGTTAGAACGTTGCTTACTCATGGGTAAACAACAGTGGTTGAATTCTAAGCCTTTTAAACGAGTAATGACCAGTCCGCAGGTTGCTGTGATATTTCTCTATGCAAGTGAGGACATTTGGCCCTTAAACACACAGAGACACTGCTGCAATACTTTATAGTTAATTTTTTTTGTCAGTGTTGTTGATAAAGGCTTATGTAACCTAGCTTTTGAACACATACCTGAGGGGAGGGTGGAGTATGTATACGTGTCCAGACAAAGATTGCTTGAACTTACATTTTTGAGGAAATGAGCATTGGGTAGTTGGAATGCACAAAACAAAAGAATTACAAATAGCAGACAATTTGATTTAAACAAAACATACCTTAAATAAATGTTGATTCATGAACAACCAGCTGTAAGGAATGTTTAGAAGAGAATAAGTTTATTCTGTGTTTAGAGGCTGAAATTAACTGATTCACTTACTTGACTTCTTGCAGACTCTTCAAAATGAGTGATAACCCTGTCAAAGCAGAAGTGCAAAACTTTGACAAAAAATGTCTAAAAAAGACAAACACAGAGGAGAAGAACGTTCTTCCGACGAAAGAGGGTAAGCGAGTTTGACAGCCTCACCCTCATAAGTCATTGTACCAGAACACAGCTTAGCCTTGCACAGTCGTGTGCTGACCTGACACAAAGCAAACATTACAAGAATATTCGCACACTGGAATTCTTCTAAGATAAGACTGTCTGTCTCTTTCACCTGGCTAAGGTGAAGAGTACACAGGAGAGGATCAAAAAGAACTCCAGTGATTAACGTCAGCAGCGGGATTTATGAACTTTAAACTTCATTTTTCATTACAGTAATAGACCACTCAGTAATTAGCAGTTAATTTACTTGCCAGCTGGCCACCCAAGATTGTCTTTCTTAAGTAGAACAAAAATGTAGAATCAATTTCAAAGTCAGAAACACAGCATAAAAGATCTTATAAAGCGAAGCAATCATTTGTACCTACAGTTGAAGTCAGAATTATTAGCCCCCCTTTGAATTGTTTTTTCTTTTCTAAATATTTCCCAAATGATGTTTAACAGAGCAAGGAAATTTTCACAGTATGTCTGATCATATTTTTTCTTCTGGAGAAAATCTTTTTTTGTTTTATTTCTGCTAGAATAGAAGCAGTTGTTATTTTTAAAAGCCATTTTAAGGACAAAATTATTAGCCTCTTTAAGCTTTATTTTTTCTATAGTCTACAGAACAAACCATCGTTATACAATATCTTGCCTAACTACCCAAACCTGCTTAGTTAACCTAATTACCCAAGTTAAGCCTTTAAATGTCACTTTAAGCTGATATATTATTTACTGTAATCATGGCAGAGATAAAAGGAATTAGTCATTAGAATTAAGATATTAAAACTAGTATGTTTATAAATATGTTTAAAAAACTTCTCTCTGTTAAACAGAAATTGGGGGGAAAAATAAATGGGGTGGGCTAATAATTTAGGGTGGCTAATATTTCTGACTTCAACTGTAAATTTTGCTCTTAGATATAATAAAACTGTATTAACATCAGTGCAGTTTTACTACAGGACCTCTCGACTGAGGCGATGTAATTGGTTTGCATCATGAAATTCTTATTTATTTTGGGGATTTTTTTACGCTTACTAATTTGCATTTCTGACTCCATCTTATTGATCGATAAGGAGCATGAGTGAAAATAATTTTCTGTGTTCTGCTGAAGAAAGAATCCTATGAGTAAATTAACAGCATTGTGTTTTTATTTAAATTATTTCCACTGCATGGCTAAAGTTAAAATTTGTTTTTCTCATTCAGTGGAAGTAACTGTGCGATTCATTTACATCTGAATTTGAATTTACAGTTTCCTCAAAACGAAAAAAAATAAATAAACAGAAAGATATCTTGCAGATCTGTGTGTGCTGGCATTGTATGATGATATAATGTTTTTAAATGATAAGTTATACCAAAGTCCCTTTAAGGCAAGTCATTTCACTCAGCAGCCATTTTTAAAATGCCTCTCTGGCAGTATGCAGTAGGCATTCTATATGAATGGAGAAACATCAAATTCTCCACAATTGCTTGCCAACCTTTCTATTTAATTTCATATTAGAAAGCGTCAATAAAATTTAACAAAAAATGTCTCTTTAGTTTCATTTCTAAACATTCAAATCAATTAAAATCTGCAGAAACTAGTGGCTGATTCCCCCAGAGAATTTTCATTCTATATTGATCGCTGATTGGCTCCTGTACTAGAAAGCCTGGTTTATACTTCTGCGTCAAACGGTCGGCGTGACCCACGGTGCAAGCCTTGCGCGTAGCAGTGCATTTATACTTCTGCACACTGTTTCTGCTGCTCTGCAATACACTTCCGAAACGCTTGCTGGCAGTGTGGTGTTTATGTTCCTCTGTGTCGAGTTTTGTTCTCTGGTGTTTTGTTTTTTCTGAACACTTCCTTTATGGACAAGTGACTCAAACTCGCTCATTTTTGAGGCTGGAATCGGCGGAAGTGCAACAACTTTAATCATTAGGTAAACAAAACATCAGGAACTCATTCATGGGACTCCTTCTGTACAGGACACCCGCTGCATCACACTTGCGTGGCCCTCACCCTCAGCCCATACTCGTCAGTGCTACCAAGCCGACCAATCACAGTGCTTGCGCTACGTGTACGCGTTACATTTTTTTAAAGAGGTGTGCCACAGCGAGGGGCCATGTGTCCACACGTAGGCTGCACCGTAGCATATGTGTGCGCTTGACGCAGAAGTATAAATCAGCCTGAAGGCGAGGCTTCATTCTCCATTTGACCTTTAAACTTTTCCCCATTCAAAACTACACAAGTGACATATCTTGTGTATTCTATAGTCTTTGGTTATACCAATGAGCTTAGAATCAGCAAAAGGCGACACTCAATAGAACGTTCCATTGCAACAGCAGCGCCCAGCAACAGCCCAACAATTCCACCATTTTGGAGTGAACGGGCGTCTATTGGATCTTATTGCTGTCTCGATGGCAAGCAGCTGCTTTGTTTTTTATTTACTTATTTAAAAAGACAATTCAATAATTTAATTTAACAATTCAACTCCTCTGAAAGTTGTGTGATGAGAATAGGAGTTGTTAAACAGTATAACAATGGTGTTCAAAAGGTTTTAGATGACACAAAATGAACCCTTTCATTGTTGCATTGTACATTTTGATGCTCCTCAGACCTTTCATCCTAACATTTCGTTTTAAATCTTGGAAGTCAATCTATTCGCACTGGCATTGTTTTCTACTCCTATTTCATTTTTTTTTTTTACAGATATTGAGCAAGAGAAGAAGGCCGGAGAGGGGGCAAAATGAATCTAACCCGTCACACCTATTCTCACATCCTCACAATTCCTGTACCATGATCTACACATCAGTTCTAATTCTGTATATGAGATTCATATTAACAGCAGCTTTAAAGCCATAACACTGAGGTATCATCTATTCATCGCAACTGTGGATATCTTCAGTTTTTTAAACTTGTGATTTGTATAGGAGATGGATAATGCCCATATCATTCTGGTGCCGTTTTCTGTTGGCTCTTCTTTAAATAACATGTGAGATTATATTTTTGCTTAATAAATAAGAATACAGAAGCTCTACAATTTGTCCAAATGTCCATATCTTTGTGAAAAGAAAGTTTAACAATGGTTTCCTGGAAAAATATCTGGCTAAGATAATACATGTTTTTTGATAACGCAACTCATTACTTAAAAAAAGTCATTGAAAATCTGTTAGTTAACACTTTTTGTGGTCTTAAACCTTACAACTAGGAGGTTAGGGTATTAATAACAAAACCTGAAGTACCAATGCAATCTCACGGCAATTTGTTACTTTTTTTTTTATTGGCTAATTCATGTGAATTCTAATTCGTACAATTTAGTACGATTTATCGTCACCCAAAGACGGTTGCGGTGAGGGGTGGGGTTAGGTGCCACGCCTCCTTTTTAAAATCGGACATTTTTGTATGACTTAATTTGTACAAATTAGCCACTTAACTGACAAAACCTAAAATACTTAAGTAATCATGGTAATGGTAGGGGCGAAGAAAGACATTTTTGAAGTCAGTGGAAATGAGTTGGACCTCAGTGCTAACTCTTCAACCAAGTAAATAGTAACTGTTTTCTTATTTAATTAAATTCATGTTTATTTATAGAGTGTTTTTTACAATGTAGATTGTGTTAAAGCAGCTTAACATAGTTTTAGTGAAGTCCAGATTTTAGAATTGAAGTTCAGGTTATTTTAGCTCAGTGTGGTTTAAGTTTTACTGCTGAAAATTCAAACACTGAAGAGCAAATCAAGCGCAGCTCCTCCACAAGTTCCAATCCAAGCAAGCCGGTGACGACAGTGGCGAAGATTAAAAACTTCTCCAGTTGACAAGTGACGGGGGAAAAAAAACTTGTGAGGAACTAGGATCTGTTGGGCATGATCATTATTCTTCTGGCCAAACGTCCTGTGTGGAGCTGCAGTCTAGGCGCCGGAGGCTGGAGAAGCAGGACATCCGTCGTGGAGAAGCTGCAGGTGTAAGTAGGCCACCGGTGGAGGGTCAGTCTGGCCCAAACGATCAATGTGGGCACTTGTCTGTCAAGGTGGTCTTTTAGGAATCAGTCTCATGCACTCCATTCCCCCATGAGAGGACCACAGCATCAGCTCGGGATACGGTCTGGTCCAGGATTATGGATATCTTGGGATCATCTCTTTACAGGTCTTGGATCGCATCAATGCTGCATAATCTCTTGGGACTTCGAAATGAGTCTCCCCAGATGGAAATAGAGAATAACGAAAATAATTAGCGTAGCTGCTGTTTATAGTATATTTAAAGGTGATGCAAAAATTAAGTGTAATAAATGAAAATAGCAGTTATTTCAACATAGAAACAAATATGTAATGCTTATGTAAAGCATATGAGAGTTTCTAACACAATGTGTGGTGCATTAAGACAGGAGCAGTGTGTCCTGCAGGTGGTTTGTCAAGCCAGCTCCTGCTTGGAGCACATTCATGCATCATACCCTAATGTGATGCATTGTGTGTATGCTTTACTAAAAAGATAGGTCTTTATTCTAGTTTTGAACTGAGAGAGTGTGTCTGAGCCTCTGACTTTACCAGGAAAGTTGTTCCAGAGTTTAGAAGCCATAAATAAAAAGGCCTAATCTCCTTTGCTACTCTAGGTACTACCAGAAGCCCTGAATTTTGATCTTAAAAATCTTAAATCAGTCATCTCTGATAATATAGTATTTGATTTACCAAAGTGTGAGCTGATATGTCGAGTATAAAACACTCTTCTAACAAAATATTTTAATTTAATTTAAATGCATTCAGAGTTCTAAATCATTAACACGAGGCCTATAGAAAGCAGATCTTGTCATTCAAGATGTGAAAGCAAAAATTGAGATGTTCATTCTGATACTGATACAATAAAAATATGACAAAGTGAAATAGCATGTTCTTGCTTTAGGCAGTAATGCAAATATTTAGATTGAAATGTTTTAAACTTTAACATTTCTGGCATTGCCTCTAATGTAACAGACAGAAGATTTTTTGTTTCTAACCTGAGCTAATCTACTGTACAGAAGAAACCAGCTCACATTTTTTCATCCATGTTGACTTTAATTAGTTTGTTTCTATTCGCCATGTCATTACTATCTGAAAAGATGTTTCAACTACAATACATGCTCATTAGAACTTTCACGAGTTATTTTTAGAGCATGCATGCAAAGTTATTAGACACAGACCAGCACAACAACAAGCACAGTTTGCGAATGTTCATTGGAACGATGGATTTGCAAAACACCAAATCAACAAACTATGTGTGTAACGACACAACTTGCGACCTTCTTGGCAAACGATGGTTTTCAAAAACTGTCTTTTGTCTGTTACATCAGAGGCAATGCCAGAAATGTTAAAGTTTCAAATATTTCAATCTAAATATTTACATGACTGCCTGTTATAAAGCAAGAACATGCCTAGTTCATGATGTCATTTTTTTTCTTGTTTTTAGGCAAACGGTATCAGAATGAACATCTGTATTTTTGCCTTTACATCTTGAATGACAAGATCTCTTGCACAAAGAAATTGTGGGGTTCTTTTCCAAAGAAGTTGTTACCAACCCTGCGAGTTATGTTGATGTTTGAGAAATGCACCCCTGAGCTAATATACTGTTCTGAACCAACCAGCTCACATTTTTCATCCATGTTGACTTTAATTAGTTTGTTACTATTCGGCATGTCATCGATATCTAAAAAAATGTTTTAACTACAATACATGCTCATTAGAACTTTCACCGAGTTATTTTTAGAGCATGCATGCAAAGTTATTAGACACAGACGAGCACAACAACAAGCGCAGTCTCTCTGTGTCCTCAGGGGTGATGACGACAGGCGAATTAAAAAAAAAACTGGAAAAGTCGGGGGTTTGGGCTATGAGGGGACAAGACGAGATTTTGAAAAGTAAAGGGGCACATTTTCCCTCTGTCCCCAGTAAAAGTTACACCCTTGAACATATATATAGAGCCACTAAGTCAACACACAGAATCTATTGGCACATTTCAGCCAAGAATTCCGGGTCTGGAATGATTTTTAAATCGTACCGCACCAATCTGGGCTGAGTGGAGAAACAACCGTAACTTTACTGAACTGTTCTTGAAACGGTTTGATAGTGGAAAAGCGGCTTAAATAAATAACAACTGCTTTCTTATCTGTCATCTCTGATGAAATGGTAATTGATTAAACAAAGTGTGAGCTGATATGTTAAGTATAAAACACTCTTCTAGCAAAAAATAAAAAAAATGCACCAAGTGTTCTAAACCATTGCCATGAGGCCTTTAGAAACAGATCTTGTCATTCAAGACGTGAAAGCAAAAATAGATGTGTTTATTCTTATGCTGTTTGTCTAAAACAATAAAAAAAAATCTGACAAAGTGAACTAGCCGTGTTCGTGCTTTATAACAGGCAGTAATGTAAATAGTTAGATTTTTCTGGCATTGCCTCTGATGTAACAGACAGAAGATATTTTGTTTCTGACCTGATCTTATATACTGTGCTGAACAAACCAGCTTACATTTTTTCATCCATGTTGACTTTAATTAGTTTGTTGCTATTTGGCATGTCATCACTATCTGAAAAGATGTTTCAACTACAATACATGGTCATTAGAACTTTCACAAGTTATTTTTAGAGCATGCATGCAAAAGTAATGGAAACAACAAGAGCAGTCTCTCTGTGTCCACAGTGGTGATAAAGACAGGCGGATAAAAAAACAGAAAAATTTGGGGGGTTGGTATATATATATATATATATATATATATATATATATATATATATATATATATATATATATATATATATATATATTGACACAGTTTAGCATGGTTGTCTAACCATCCGGAGAATTTCAGGTCGAGAATGGTTTGTAATCGTGCCGCACCGTTCTAGGCTCAGTGGAGAAACAATTGTTATTTAACTAAACTGTTCTTGAAATGGATTGATAGTGGAAAAGCGGCTTAAATAAATAATAACTGCTTTCTTATCTGTTATATCTGATAATACGGTAATTGATTAAACAAAGTGTGAACTGATATGTTTAATATAAAACACTCATTTAGCAAAGCAAAAAAAAATTGTAAAAATGCATCCAGAGTTCTAAATTATTAACACAAGGCCTGTAGAAACAGATCTTGTCATTCCAGATGTGAAAGCAAAAATAGAGATGTTCATTCTAATGCTGTTTGTCTAAAATGAGAAAAAAGATATGAAAACATGAACTAGGTGTGTTTTTGCGTTATAACAGGCAGTAATGTAAATATTTAGATTAACATTTAATTTCAACATTACATAACATTTTCATTTCACATGGCATTGCCCCTGTCTGGTGCCAACTGACAAGATATTTTGTTTCTGACCTGAGCTAATATACTGTACTGAACCTTCCAGCTCACATTTTTTCATCCATGCTGACTGTAATTCATTTGTTGCTATTCGGCATGTCATCACTATCTGAAAACATGTTTCAACTACAATACATGCTCATTAGAACATTCACCAAGGTATTTTTAGAGCATGCATGCAAAGTTATTGGATGCAGATGAGCACAACAACACACGCAGTATCTCTGTGTCCTTAGTGATAATGACGGCAGGCGGATAAAAAAAAAAAAAAAAACAAGTAAAGGGCACATTTTCTCTCTCTTCCCAGTAAAAGTTACACCCCACCCTTGTATATATACGTATATGCATGCTTTCTCACTACAACCGCACCGGTCCAGTGTGCATTTCTGAACCAAAACCACCTCATTTAGGTGATCTCAGACTCTGGATCCAAATGTAATTGTCATGTTAACATGTCCAATTGAATTAAGGGGGAAACGCAGCAGTTTCAGAGCAATCAACAAGGTGTGAAAGCACCCATGAGATCATCAGATCAATGTGCTGAAAAAGCAAATCTGATCCAACAAAATAAGCTATATCACAGCTGTATGATGGTTATGTAATAGGCATATATGTTAGGGGTGTAACAGTAACTGTTCTGTTATCAGCAACATGGTAGAAAGCGAAACTGACTGAACCGGAGCAGCACAGAATGGAATAATTGAGCTATCAGAAATGGAC